CCCCCTGCACTCCTGCCCCCTCCTTCCCTTTCTCTCTCGCTGCAGTGTCAGTCATTTATGCATTTCTGAGAGTGTGCATGCATGCACAAGCAGCTGAGCACCTCTCTCTCTAATGCACATAATTATGATGGTGGCTGATAGAAAGAGTAAGCGCATCAATGGATGGAGAGAAAAAGCAGATGAGGAGCATGAAGTCTGCCCTCAACGCTCTTCCCATGGTAACTTAAGAGCAGGCAAGTTGGGGGCTAGTTATTTCTGTCTACTTCCTCTTGATATTCCATAATCCTCCACATAATTACATTTACATTACATTTACATTTAGTCATTTTGCAGATGCTTTTCTTTACACTCGTTGGTCTTCAAACGAGGAGGCCTGAAAGCTTCCGCTGATGCTTCTGCGTCAGCGTCAGCGCACAGACATCAGGTAAATACAGTCTAAAAGACTAAAGTGAAAACAGCTGTGGCCGCCTTCTAATTAGCACAGCCAATAGTCTATAGCACGGCAATTCCCCAAATCGAAACTACAGTTCGCACTTAAACGCAGGAATTCCTTCCTGGCAGAAAGTAATAATTCAAACAGCAGATCTATAAACAAGTATTACGCAAAACACTCACGTGCAGCCGTCTGTCTCTTCTGTTGACTAATCGCTTGGACTAAAATTACCATTTTTTTTAATAAATCTGACACTTAAAGATATAGATCACCTCGAAATTAAAATTCTGTCATTAATTTACCCACCTTGTATCGTTTTAAACCTGTATGACCTACTTTCTTCTGTGGAACATAAAATATTCTGAAAAACTGTTTTTGTCCATATAATGAAAGTCAATGGGTCCTAAACAAAACTACATTTAAAAAAAAAACTCATTTAATTGGAATGACATGAAGGTGAGTAAATGTCTGAATACAAAAAATGTATTTTTGTCTGAACCATCCTCAACCACATCAACAAGCCAATGCCGAGCAAAAGCATAATGCAGGTCATTTGACACATCCTCAAGGTTATCTTGGTGTATGCGTTTACAAATCCAGACCAACCATGCAATAAGCGTCTAATCAGTGTGTCAGAATAACTAGAGGGTTGATTTGAGTCATTCAGTCGAGTGACCTGAATTCAGGGTTATGAGGAAGAGTCAGCTGAACTACAAATCCCAGAGTGCACTCTGTCCGTGCTCTTGCTTTCTAAGGACACGGGGGACTGTGTATGCTGCAAAGGTGCATTGATTCTTTTTTTTGTGCTGCTTCTTCCCTGTCACATCTCTGTGCTGAAATGTCCATCAGAAACGTCTGAAGGGAAGGAATATTCGAGCTTAAACACAGTTGCATCATGGTCCTTGGCTCCAGGGCATGGGCATGTCTGGTGAGCACACACACTTAGAGCAGACAGGCGGAGGGGGAGGGGGGGAGAGAGAGACAGAGAGAGAGAGAGAGAGAGAGAGAGAGAGAGAGAGAGAGAGAGAGAGAGAATGCAAAACACATATAGGAAAGAAATACAGCTCGACTATCACAAGAAATTAATTAATGCAGACAAACATTTACAACAGTATAAACAAACATGATCAATGCAAAAAGACAACTGATTCAATTACACACTTTTAAATTTGAAGGTAACAGACAAACAAACACAGCAGGGCTTAACAATAAGTATGGTGAGAGTGTTTTGGGCTAATTGACAGAACTGTCTCACCCTCTCGGGCCAATACATCTTACATTTATTGGTGATGACTTAAGCATTAGAAATTGTTCTTGCAAATTTTGCTGATGTAAATATGTCACCAAGATAATGTTATTTAGATCCCTAACATGGAAGATGCTTTGCCAAATGCAAGAATTATTGGTGAAAGTTAGGAGTGCACAATATATTGGTAACAGATTGGTTATCAGCCAGTATTAAAGATTTTTATTTATAGGTATCAGCCAATATTGGAAAAATTAAAAGGTAATTTAGATTACCTTTGCTGGCATCTAATAAGTCTTTAAAACACAAATAAATTAATAACATATTGTAAAAAGTAATTGTTAGCAGATTTCAAAATAAATAAATTATGTTGTGATGCCTAGATTCACTTGTAGCAATTAAAATGACTGATTTTAGATTTTAGCGTTTTATTTTTAGTTTTAGACAACATATTACAGAATTTTAATATCAGCCATGTATCAGTTATTGGCCATAACACAAAAATATGATTTATCAGTACTGGCCAGAATTTGTGCATCCCTGATGAAAGCGTGATAACATGAGATAAATGGGTAAAAATTATTAACAATGTATATGACATTATTTTCCAGCAATAACATATATTTTAAACATTTATTTTAATTTTGTTCCTGACACAAATAAAAATGTTTATTAAAAAAAAGATATATATCCTTATTGTTGAGCCCTGCAGGAGCTGCAAATTTTCAATTGAAGAGCAAAACAAGAACCACATTAAACACAATGTGCAACATCAAGATTTTCACTTCATTCGCTTCCAAGAATCAGTACAAACAAAAATGAAAAGATCTATGCCAAGATGAACCCAAGAACCCCAGAGGAACCCACAGCAGGTAAGACAAGACAACAAATCCCAGGCTCCCTGCTTTAATTTACAATTCTGGTGCCATGACCCAAGATCTTCAACACATTGAGACGAAATGAAAAGGTAAATCCACACCTCAAAAAGAAGAATAAAGAAAAGAATAGGGGAACGCACACGTGGCAAAGTGAAGGTCCAGACACCCATCCCATCACCTGGTGCATGTTGGAAGTGTAACCCTAGGCATAGAGGCTGATGATTTTCGTCAATGACAACATGGAGGTGTTTCACCTAGAGACCCACACACTCTTGAGCATCTCAGAACATAAGGACAGGAAGTGAGCTAACACAGAGAGATGCAGAGCCAGACATTATGGTAAATCTAATGACCTACATTTTCAACTCCCTGAAGAAATGTAATGTTGTGTATAAAGCACAGTGCATGTGCATGTGTGGAATGCAGTAAAAGATATTCACAGATGGCACTAGATGTTCTCTTCTTACCCGGCTCACTGTACTAAAACTTTTGTTGCCATGTAACTGCAAGGACCAGACTCACATCAATTAAAAATAAGCACAGAGGACAAAATCAAAGCCTATTTCAATAATAAACTACATAATACACAGCGAAAGAGCAGCATATTCACCGTGAGGCTTGTAATACAACTAGTTAATCGAGGCACGCCCAACAAATTAATGTAATTTAACCTAAATCTTCGATGACAAAGAATTCATACCAATAATAAAGGGTTTAATTCCTGAAGGTTGAGTCTCTGTCTGAGTAATAGCATAGAGCGGGTTTATAAGTTAACCTACTGGCTTCCACACTAACTCAACCGAATGTGTCAGGTCAGGTTTTTCGGTAATGTATGACCAGCCTCCATGCCTCGGGATACGTACGTGCAGGTGTGTTTGGGAATGCTTACCACATACTCCATCGGAAAACACTCTTTTGTGTGTCAGTTTTCCTAGAAAGTGCACGTAAACGTATATTAGCATGTTCTCACACATACACAAAAAAAAAATAAATAAATCACATGATACATCAGCAAAGCCACCAATTACAGTAAACCTTTGATTAGCCTGAGGGATGAAATCATCCAAAAAAAAAGGGAATGTTTTATTGGCATAAAAACATTTTTGGCTCAGGAATGCATTTATTCATGTATGATTCAATCGAGGATTATGACAAAAGACTTTCTAAATTAGTCAGTTTTCCTCATAGCACCTGGGGAAAAAAAAACCCATCACAACACCACCTGGCTACAACTGATAGTTTGATTTTGCACGGCACACATGCATGTGCATTTAAGATTAAAATACACCCCAAAAAAAGAGAAAGGCACATTATAGAATGGCTGCGTCTATGTCTGTGGTCGTGCTCAGACAAACCATGGTATGAAAGGAATGACCAGGCAGGACGGGTAATGGTACGTATGCTGTAGCTTCTTTATGTCTCCAATACACAAGCAGACTGAATCGGTGACAGTGCGCACATGTTCCAGCCTGCTGGGGGTTAATCAGAGCAGGTAACATTCTTGAAACAGCCATCCAGAATAGAACT